CAACTCCCCCAGGAATCTTCTTCTCAATGGAGCGTCTATTCCCGTCAACCAATCCCAGATCATTTCCTGTGTAGTATAATTTCATTTCATCCAATGGCTCAAAGTATTTCACTTCTTCCAAACTGATTAAAGATTTTTTAAAAATCACCTTGTTTATGCCTTTGATTTATTGACAATTTGAGGTTTTCAAAGGGCAATTAATATGTTGGTTAGTTTTTTTGAAGCAAGCACTGTGAAGCACTTAGAGCTTGGTCGGACATGGAAGATGCCAAGGTGCATCCCAAGCCATCACCAGTCATCTTGACTTTTGTCCTGCCACTGGACTTTGATGACTCTGGAGGACAGAGTAAGGCTGACAACTTTGTGCATCTCTGCCTAACTTAAATCCATTTCATGCTCAAGTCGAGAGACATCACCTTGTGATGTCATTAGACCTCTTTGAAAACAAAAGACAAACAACAAAAACAACAGTAGTTTTTCTGAACTGCAAAATTTGCTGGTTCATTACTTATGTAGTCCACATGAGCAACTATGAAGAGGGATCAGAAAAGAAGGCGATATTTATGGTAAAAAATAAATGGTGGGCCCTCAAACCTATCATCTGGCAACTGTTAAAAGAACCAGAATTCAGTGTTGGTAAGGCTATTCGGTAACAGGCAAGCACACTCATTCATTGCTGGTAGAACTGCAAACTTTTTTATAGAATCTCTTGGGCAAAAATAATTAAAAGTAGCAAACTTTGATCTTGATGGAGTTATAGAGGAATTGACACTCTCATTTATCGTTGGTGGAAATGGAGACTTGTAAAATCTTTTTGGCAAGCAATCTGATAAATACAGAGGGAAAATTACAGAAATAACCATACTCTCAGATCTGAAATTCTGCTGCTTGGAATATACCCTGAAGATCTTTATCAAAAGCAAGAAAAAATGAGATCTATTTGTTCCAAGATTTTTCATAGCCATATTATGTGTAAGGACTAAAAAAAAAAAAAAGTATATGTGCAGGGATGGAGGAATGAGGAGAGTGGGGGAGTGGGGGAGGGTGGAAGGGGAGCAAATATCCAAAAATGAAGAGGAAAAGGTTTAATAAACTGGGGAACACAATGGAATATTATTACGTAATTAGGACAGACAAATATGAGAAATAAAAAGAAATCCAGAAGGACCCAAACAATATAATGCAAAGTGAAAACAGGACCGGAAAAATGCGATATACATCAACTGCAGTCACATAAGGGGGAAAGCTAATGAGAATAAGTGGATAAACCACAAATTCTAACAAGGACATGGAACAAATGAAAAATTGTTCTGACATTTTATGTGGCAAAATTACTTTAAATGTAAATAGTTTTTAAGCAAGTTTAGATGGCTGTACTGATGGTCGATGTTAAAATTTGCTTTTTAAAAATAAAACCTTAACAAAAAGATAAAGGGGGGGTCCTTTAAAAGGATCATAGGATGATTAATTAAGATCATAGCTTTAGATCTGGAAGGGACCTTCGAGGTCATCTTGCCTGACTCCTTTATTTTACTGGTGAGGAACCGAAGGTGCAGAACTGAGTACTGTTACCTGCTTGTGATCAGGTAGGAAGTGGGAGAAGCAGGATTTGAACCCAGGTCCTCTGACTTAAGAGATAATGCTCTTTTATAGTAACACATCGCCTCATCCCAATTGCAGAGATTATTCTTTCTCGTGGATAGGGACCAGACGTGGAGAGCAGCTTAGTTCATAAAGCAGACTGCTTAAAGCATAAAGCACTGAGCTTGGACTCGTTGGTTCTGAGTCTGAGTGCTGGCTTTGTGACTGACTTCCTGTTTGACCTTGGGTGAATTAATCAATTGGGGCAGCCAGGTGGCACAGTGGATAGACCACCATGCTTGGAGTCAGAAAAGATCTGAGTTCAAGTCTAGCCTCAGACACTTACTAGCTGTGTGACCTTGGGCAAGTCACTTAACTTTTGTCTATCTCAGTGTCCCCATGTGTGAAATGAGCTGGAAAAGAAAATGACAAACCACTCCAGTACCCTTCCCAAGAAAAACCCTCACAAAGAGTTGGAAATGACTGGACAACAACAACAATAAAGCCACTCAATGTCCCCAGGCTTCCATTTCTTCCTTCGTCAAAAGAGAGAGTTGGAGTAGCGGGCTTCTGAGATCCCTTCCAACTTGAGATTCCCCGATGGAATTTGTTGGGCTTTGTAAATTTTTTTCTCTTATTTCCCCCTACTTAATAGTGTTTTATTTTTTCCAATTCAATGGAAAGATAGTTTTCAACATTCACTTTTACAAAATTTTGAGTTCCAAATTTTCTTCTCCCTCCCTTTTCCCCTCCCCAAGATGGCAAGCAATCTGATATAGGCTATCCATGTGGTTTGTAAATTAAAAAAAAATGTTGTGATAAAGTGATTTCAATAAAATTGGTTTCCTTTGTAATCTCACATATTTTATTTTGTGCATTTAAAAATATGATTCTGAGAAGGTTCCATAGGCTTCACTCTACTGCCAAAGGGGTTCACATTGCAAAAAAGGGCTAAGAATTTCTAGTCTAGATCTATGAGCATATGAAAGAACTGAACTTGGAGATAGGCAGTCCAGGGCTCAAATTCAACAAGTCATTTCCCTCTCCCAGCCTGAGTCTTATCTGCAAAGTGGAGATGATGATTCTCATACTGTTTACCACACCCAGAGGAGCACAGGGTCATTGGTTTAGAGTGGGAAGAGGCCTTCTAGGTAATGGAGTCCAACCCTAGTCAAATAAGGAAATGTATATATTTTGCAAACTTTCATTGACTATATAAAGGTGAGTTATCCCAGAATGTAAAGTTTAGAAGGGACCTTAGAGACCATTTAGTCCAACCCTTACCTGAATAAGCTTCTTCTCCAACCCCCCCCCCCCCCGCCCCGAAGAGTGAGTGGTCATCTGTGCAGCTCATCCTGCTGTTGGACAGCTCCCTTATCATTACAAAGTTCTTCCCGACATCAAGCTGAAATTGACCTTTTTTTTAACTTCCACCCAGGCTCTGAGGTGTGCCTCCCCTCTGGGGTCCAGCGGAAAAGGCTAATCCTTCTCCCTCAAATACTTGAATCCAGGTCTCACATCTTTCCTGAGTCTTCTTTTTGGCTAAACATGGCCAAGTTGAGCCTTTCCCCTTCCTGACTGGGCCTCCTTTGAACAGTCTATCGTTGTTATGTTATTTAATCTGAACCATTTACATTTATATTTGGAAAAAGATCTGATAGGCACAGGACAAAAGGCTTTAGATTTGAAGTTAGGGGACCTGGTGTTGAATCTCAACATTGCCACTGTTATCCAAGGTGGTCTTAAGCAAATTACTTCACTTCTCCCTGCTTCTGTTTCCTCATCTGTACAATGAGGGGGTTAGAGTTGATGACTTCAGGCTTGAAATCTGCAATTATTATAAACTAAATAATAACAGTATTAACTTTTCAGTTCTGTGTCCCCTTATGAATCTGTCTGGGGACTTATAGAATATTGTTGCCTTGTTAAAAATTGTTTTTAGATGTAATTGGAAAAATATATTTTTTAAAAGAAAGGTAAAATTGAGTCAGTTAAACATTTTATATTTTCCTTGGGATCATAACTGTGAGGATATGAATGAATCTAAAAAACCATGCATGGTCCAACCATCTAATTCTAGACACTATTCATTAAAGTAACTCTAAAACATTGTTGTTTTTACTTCATTTTTCAAACTAGCCTAGGAAAGGTAGCTAGGTGGTGCAATAGATAGAGCACCAGCCCCTGGAGTCAGGAAGACCTGAGTTCAAATTCAGCCTCAGGCACTTACTAGCTGTGTGACCCTGGGCAAGTCACTTAATACTGTTTGCCTGGCTTTCCTCATCTATAAAATGAGCTGCAGAAGGAAATGGCAAACCACTCCACTATCTTTGCCAAGAACACTCCAAATGGGGTCACAGAGAGTCGGATGTGACTGAAACAACTGAAAAACAATTCTAGGAAAATGATTCCGTATTGTCCCTTGGGAAACCATTTACCTAAAATTAGATTCTTAAAGGCATTTAAAGCCTGTTCATTGTTTATGTTATTTTCAAAAAAAATACTAAAATGCTCAAAATAATAATAATAAAAAAGAATGTTGTTGCCTTCTTGATTTGGGGGAGACAGTAAGAATTTGTTTGGCTGGTATGCCCCAGGAATGATGCAAGTTAAGGTTTAATTGACCCAGAGACCAGGCATTGGCCCCCTCCCCAGTCACTTGCTTGTTGTGACACAGTTAGAGGGAAGTTTCCTAGCTCCCTGCCCCTTTATTTCTCATTCCTTATTAGCCAATTCAGAGAATACCCTCATTTCAGGGGTCTAGACTACCTTACTGCCTTGATCATGGCAGTCTCCTAATAGTGCCAAATCAGCTGTTTGTCTAAAATCCTGTATAAGTTCGAACCCTGAGTGGCATGGGGGCTTTGGACTGGTGAGCACATCTTGGCTGCAGGTCAAGCCTACCCATGCAACTGGTGACAGTGGGGGGGTGGAGACCCACCTAGTTGTGCCCCATTGTCATCCTGCCCTCCCCCGGGCTCTGCAGTTTGAAATTTTTTCGCAGCATCATGGTCTGTGTTTATCTGGTGCATATCTGATACTTTTCATAATGTTGTCTGCCCATATTTCTTGTGTTCTTCATATGCATCCTTTTCTACATCCTTTTAACACCTCTGGCTTGAGAGATGGAAAGGATACTAGAGGCTATCCCGGCCAGGGGCTTTTATCCTCATTTGAATCATGGATGCCTTGGGTAGTCTAGAGAAGCCTATGGCTCTCTTAGGAGAATTATTTTTTTAAATGAAGGAAATGAAATATGTTTAATATGATTGTCCATGTATAGCCTATATCAGATTGCTTGCCATCTTGGAGAGAGGGAAGGAAAAAAAAATTTTGGAACCCAAAAATCTTATAAAAGTGAATCTTAAAAACTATCTTTACATGTAATTGGACAAAATAAAATACTATTAAGTGAGGGAAATGAAGGAAATGGCAAATCTGAATTCGAGGTTAGTGAAATAATAGAATTTTTTCCCATCCAAGTTTATAGACCCCATAAATTCTATCTGAAGTCATGGTCCATGGACCTCAAGTTAGGAGCCTCAGACTTGTCCACGCCTATTGTTTGGCCCAGAGGGCAGGTGAATGGCCCAAGATCTCACAGCGAATTAGGGGCAGGCCTGCTGCCTCTTAAGGAATTCATCCTTACCCTCATCCCTGGGCAGAGGTCCATATTGCAGGAGGCACTGCAGCCACTAGGTGGCAGCAGGAAGCAGTAACTTGCGGAGAAGCTGGACATTATCTATTTGAAATGAAGACAATTCTTTCAGTGATGCTAGAGAAAAGAATCTTCTCCCGGGTCTCGTCTCCTTGGAATCTCCAGACGATGGGCAAGAAGCTGGTGAAGACCAGAGCCAAGATGGCGGTGATGTAGCCCCAGCCCAGGTGGCACCGACCACTGCTGTACACGGCCGAAGGACCGCAGGCGTCCTGAGCAACCTGGGAGGCCAGGCTGAATGGAAAAAGCAACAGGCCCATGAGAGTGGCGATGACTGGAGGGAGAGAAGAGGAGAGGAGGAAAGTCATCTTTACTGGATTGTCAAGCTTTGTGCCAGGCACCATTAGATTGCAAGCTCCTGGAGGGCAGGGACTGTCTTTTGCCTTTTCTTGTATGCCCCACAATTGTGCTTCATAAATATTGATTGATACAAATACAAAAACAAGACTGGATCTTTCATTTAGGGAACTTAGATACTAATGGGCCGGCTTCATGATTTTGCTAGTCTCTGATGGGCCTATGGAAGGCAGATTTGAGAAATCATCTGGTCTAATATTATCATTTTATCGATGGGGAAACTGAGGCTTGGAGAGAAGTGACTTCTCCAAGTAAAAATAGGAGTATACAGTCATAGGTCTAAGACTGGAAAGGACCCTAGAAGCCAACAAGTCCAACGTTCTTATTTCACAGATGAGGAAACTGAGGCAGCGGGGGGTTGGTAAAGTCACGGGAAAGCTGGGATTTGAACACAGGTCATCTGACTTCCAAATCCAGAGCTTTTTCTGCTGGACTTTGGGAAGGTCAGTTTAACTCTTCTGACTTTGTCAGCCTAGAGTCAGGAGTTCGCTCAGCCAGAAACAGGGTCACGAATAGTCAAGGCACTCACCAGATGCTACTTGTATGTACTGGGTTGGGATGCGCTCTTTCATGGGGCAGAAGTCCTTAGGGAGGATAGTCCAGGAGAGGAGGAGCAGGGCCCGCAAGGCCAGCAGGAGCCAGCCTCCCAGAAGCAGCGCAGCTGAGGCCTGGAGGAGAGAAAGGCGGACGGAGACCCCAGAAACCACAAAAGCCTCCATTTCAGTTCAGCCACTAATAAGGTTAGCTTCCTATTAGGCGATGCCCTGGAAAGAGACCCAGGTCATCTCCTATCTGGTCAAGTCATCTCCTATCTGGGACCCACTTGCTTTCGGTGTAAAACGAAGGTCTTTTCAAACTGCAGCATTCTATGGGGAAGGAAAAGAACCCCACTGATCAGTTCCCCTTCCTCATGAGCTAGTTGTGATATGACAGGGCAGATTATGTTGGTATTGTTTCTATAAAGATCACTGGAATGGGGGTCAGGAGACCTGGGTTCATCTCTCAGCTCGGTCTCTTACTTGCTGTGTGACCTCGAGCTAATCACCTCCCCTCTCTGAGCCTCAGTTTACCCATCAGTAAAATGAAAGATTTGGAATCCCTGTGTGATCTTTGGCAAATCACACACTCTTCCTCCTCTGCAAAATTAGCAGTGGGACTAGATCTCCTTCAGCCCCAAATCCTAGGACCCCAATGATCTCAGAGCTCCTTTGGCTTCCTAAATCACCTCTCAGATTCCATATCTGCAAAATGGGGTCAATCAATCTATTGACAGGCATTTATTAAGCACCTATTATGTGCCAGGTGATGAGGATACAAAGCCTGCTCTCAAGGACAATGTTCTCCTGGGGAGATGCTTTTCAAGACCTACCTCTCAGGGTGGCTGGGAGCCAAGCACTCTGGGAACCGGTATGGAAACGTGGATTATCTTTGGGCTGTAACATCATGCCTCTAGAAGGCCTCTTCTTAAACTGCCCATGTGATACTGAGGACTGATACTGGCGGAAAGGTCAGATCCTGTCGGTGGGTCCTGGGAAAATGGCTTATTGTATCTCTATTGCTCAGCAGCCTGTGAGCACATAATTGGTACTTAATGAATGTTTGTCGATTGCCTGATGGATGGTCTCTTAAACTTCTAAAGGCAGCTAAGTAGCAATGAGTTCGTGGAGTGCTAGGCCTGGAGGCGGGAAGTCCTGAGTTCAAATGTGACTTCTGAGACTTAGTAGTCTGGGCTAGAAGGTGACCCTGGGCAAGTCACTCAACCGCCCTCTGCTGCAGTGTCCTCAGCTGTAAAATGGGAATCATGACACCTGCTTCCCAGGGATATGGGAGGGTCAAATGATGGATTTGCAAAGTGCCTAGCACGGTGCTTGGCACACAGTAGGTGTTATTTAATGCCTGTTTCTTTCCTTCCTTCTTCCTTCCTTCCTCTCTTCTCCCTACTTCCTTCCTTCCCTTCCCTCCTTCCTTCTTTTCCTCCCTCCCTTTCCTTCTTTCCTCCCCCTCTTCTTTCCTCCCTCCCTCCATCTCTCCCTCTTTCTTTTCTTCTTTCCTTCCTTCCTTCTTTCCTTCCTTCCTCCCTTCCTTTCTTCCTTTTTTCTGTCCTTCTTTCCCTTCCTTCCCTCCCTCCCCTCTCTCCCCTTCCTTCCTTGCTTCTTTTCTCTCCCTCCCTCCCCTCTCTTCCCTTCCTTCCCTCCCTCCCTCTTTTCTTTCTTCCCTCCCTCCTTCCTTCTTTCCTTTCTTTCTTCTCTTGTTCCCTCCCTCCTTCACTTCTGGAGGATAGCCACTGGGTTTTGTCTCAAATGATCACTACCTTCCAGGCCAGGTCAGGTATGTCGTCCAGGGTCCTGTAAGCCACACAGGTCTGGTTCCAGGCTTTACCCACAGGCCAGGAGCATGAGGCAAAGAGTCCAAAAGAAAAGATATCACTTTGGAACCAGACGGGGGAGACTAGGCCACAGGCAGAGATGAAGACCAAGCAGAAAGCCAGGGCTGAGCCCACACTGTCCCTGTGGTCCCTCATGGGGAGTTCCAGGCACTGGGGTCTCAACACCTGCTGTACATACGAGACGTGCAGGAGCTTCTCCCCAGTGAATTAGGCCTTTTATTTTGGAGACTGTCATGGCCCATCTCTGGACCACAAGGTTATCTGTAAAGCAAGAAGGCTCAGGGAGATTATTTCTAAAGACCTTAGTCACTTTTAGCATTGTCTTCCAAGATGCCACCAGCCCTGACATCGCCTGTTCCAAGGCCCCTCCCAGCCCTGACATCCTCTGTTCCAAGGCCCCTCCCAGCTCTGACATTCCCTGTTCCAAGGCCCCTCCCAGCTCTGACATTTCCTATTTTAAGGTCCTTCTCAGCTCTAACACTCCCTGTTCCAAGGTCCCACTCTGTTCTGCCCTTCTCTGTTCTGTGTTTCCTCCCCAGTGTTATTTGGTAATGAGTTGCTTCTAAACTTAGCTAGGCTGGTCCTCCTTGGACAAACACACAATCCTCACCCAGCCCACTCTCTAAGTCTTTCCAACTTGGAAGGACCTGCTAAATTCTGAGCTCTGCAGGTGTGGGCTTGGAGAACCCAGAGACAGAGTTATATGATGATGAGGCACTGCTGGAGGTAAGCTCATAGATCCACTTAATTGACTAATCAATCAACAAGCATTTATTAAGCACCTACTATATGCTAGGTACATTTCAGCGTCCTTAAAATGAAACTAATCTGACCTTTCTGTAAGCCCACGTACACACAGACCCATCTCCACATTACTTAAGAGTTTGTCTTCTTTTTTGTCTTTGAAAAAAATTGTGGTTAAACTGGGTCATGGAGATTTATAGCTGGAAAATACCTCAGAAACCATCTAGTCCAAGGGTTCTTACCCTGGGGTCCATAGACCATCAATAGGGGCTATCTTAGGGGAATCTATGCTAGGGGGCACCATAGTGGATAGAGCGAGGGGCCTGGAGTCAGGAGGACCTGAGTTCAAATCCAACCTCAGACACTTATTAGCTAGGTGACCTTGGGCAAGTGACTTAACAGCTTTTGGCCTCAGTTTCCTCATCTGTAAAACCAGATTGATAATAGCACCTACTTTGCAGTGTTATTGTGAGGATCAAAAGAAATGACAGATGAAAAGTGTAAAATGGTATATATAATTGCTATTTATTATTATTATTTCAGACCCACATAACTTCTCATTCTTCCTTTTGGTACAGACCCAGAGACAAATAGCTAGTTATGGAAGGAGCAAAATACCCTCTCTGCCATTTACCAGTTATTTGATCTTGACCAATTAAATTCCCTTCTCTGAGACTCATTTTCCCCATCTGTAAAATATGGGGGTCAGACTAGATAACCCCTAAGGGACCTTCCAGATCTAAATCCCATAATTTTATGAGCTCCCCATGCATCAGCCCAAGAAAGTGTAGAGATGAATTGGGGTTACCTTAGAGGATTCCATGTTGGCATCAATTTCTCTTCAATTTCCAGCTAATATCCTCAGAAGACAAATCTAGTCACTCATGCTAGTTCCCATGGCTCTGTCTTCAGAAAGGCAGGTCTGGGGAAGGCATGTTTGTCCTTCCTGTTCCAAAGAGCAGAATTTCTACACAACCAGAGGTGCCTCTAATCTTATCATCCTCATGATAGGGTGGAGGCAGACTTGGTCACAGGTGAGGCAATTCTTAAAGGGCCAACACGTAAAAAGGTGTTTGACCAGCCCAATAACCTCATATCTTTCATGGGGTCATAGATTTAGGGCTGAAAGGGACTTTAGAGGTCAGCTGGTCTGAGGGAGTCAAGGACCCAGCTCATACAATCACCGAGTGTGGCCCAAATCAGATTACAGTTCCTTTTTTATTTTAATGTCTTGATGTAGTAATAAAATATTTATATTAAATGTGTTATTAATAATATTATATAAAAACATATGTACATATACAAACATATACACATGTATCTACAATACATGTATGTATGTGTATGTATACGTATATATACAGTTACATATACACAGTATACGTATATGTATATATGTATGTATGTATGTATGTATATCTAGGTGTGTATGTATGGTTGTGTATATGTATGTGTGCATAGAGATAGAGATAGAGATAGAGATAGAGACAGAGATAAAGAGAGTGTGTGTGTGTGTCTGTGTGGTTTTCCAAGTCAATATCTGGCCTTGAAGGCAGCTAGGTGGCGCCATAGTGCACAGAGCCACTGGCCTGGAGTCAGGAAGACTTAATCTTTCTGAGTTCAAATCCAGCCTCAGACACTTACTAGCTGTGTGACCCTGGGCAAGTCACTTAACCCTGTTTGCCTCAGTTTCCTCATCTGTAAAATGAGCTGGAGAAAGGAATGGCAAACCACTCTAGGATCTTGGCCAAGAAGACCCCAAATGGGGTCATGGAGAGTCAGCCATGACTGAACAACAACAACATGGATCCTTAGATACAGTTTAGCGTCCCTCATTTTCATTTGAGTTTACCACCACTGATCTAGTCTAACCCCTCTCCTTCTACCAGAAGATAGAAGGGGTAGAGATTATGACCAAACAACAAATGAAGCTAGAGGTGATAGAGCTGCAGAACCCTGCACCCAGCCTAGCCCAGTCTAGAGAAACTTTGGATGTCGAGCCTAGAAAAGGACTGTCACGGGCAAGAGGGATTGGACTGGTTGTGTCTGGCCCCCCAGGCCAAATGGACGGCAGCTGCAAAGGAGGCAGATTTCAACTCAACGTAAGGAAGACCCTCCTAACAATCCCAAAGTGAATGGCCGTTGGATCTCCTGCTCACCTGAGGCCTGGTCAGGTGACTGACCATTGGGAACATTCTACAGGGCATGGTCTTGTCCTATTCAGACTCATTTGTGCAGGTTGATAGTAAACCAGAAATCACAGCAAAGTATACATGTAGGAATATAGAAGCAGACATTACGAATTAAAGGATCTCTTCCATTAAGGAGTGAGAGAGAGAGAGAGAGAGAGAGAGAGAGAGAGAGAGAGAGAGAGAGAAAGAGGAAGAAGAAGAAGAAGAAGTAAGAGGAGGAGGAGATGGAGAAGAAAAAGGTCCCAGATCTCATGAAGGGGAATATTTCCTGAAATATAGCAAGCTGGGATAGAGACATGACAGAGACTGCCAGCTCTTCTCATGCTGGCTTCTTCCCAGAGACTTTCTCTCCCTTCAGAAACCTAAAGAGAGGTTGCCATCAAGAATCTCCTCTCTCAAAGCTAGAAGCTAGAAGAACCTAAAGAAACTTCAATTCTTTTCTCTCACACTCTCCCTGACTCCACCCACCCTTCACACGGGCAAGGAGCAAAGAGTAATCAATCTCTGCCAGTGAGGACAGAGTCCCATGCAATTGGCCCTGGGAACCGAAGGTTACACTAATGTCTACTATTATCATCTTAAATCAATATACAAATCAGTGGTTGTTAAGTCAATTTACAAGTGTTTATTATGTGCCTACTATGTGCCAGGCATTGTGCTGGGAATGCAAAGACAAAATTAAATCGTTCTGACCCCTGAAGAGCTTACTTTCTATAGGACAAGTGAACACATATAAGTAAATATAAACCATATTCAAAATAAATCACAGAAAATGAGAGCTGGAAGGGGATCTTAGCAGCCATCTTGGCTAGCCTATGAATTAAAGGAATCTCCTCTGTTTCCTGTTCTGTAGAATGAAGGGCACTTAATCACATCCAAGGTCCCCTCCAACCCTGGTCTTCAGTGAGGTAGCACATTATAGTTGATAAAGCATTAGTCTTGGAATCGGGAAGACTTGGGCTCCAGCCTAGCCTTTGACACTTAGTAGCTGGGTGAGTATGGTCAAGTCTAACCTTCATCCTTTGTCTGCCTTAATTTCCTCATTCATAAAATGGGGATAATAATGCCACAGGACCTGCCCCACAGGGTCATTCTGATGATTAAATGACATGATATATGTAAAATACTTCACCAGCCTTAAGGAGCTAGAGGAGTGTCAGCTATTTCCAACACATCAGCCTGACTCACCAGGATGCATAAGCCCCATAATGAATGCCAGTTACTGGTACCTTACCATTTGGTGGTTAGCAGATGCTTCAGCAGGAAGGATAATGTAGCAGCCAAAATAGCGTCATTCTGCCTGCGTGGTCTGTCTTTCTTGCCATTCTCTTAATGGGTGAGAACTTCTCCCAGAACTCATGCAGTCCTGCAGGAGTCTAGGATTGGGTGTGTACCAGTGCTTTGGATAGGGCTTGCCAAATCTTGTTCATGTTCCCCAGGGAGCTTTCACTCTTGCAAAGGAGACAGTGCATAGAGCTCCAGGCCTCAAGTCAGGAAGCCTCATCTTCCTGAGTTCAAATCCTGCCCCAGACACTTCTTAGATGTGTGACCCTGGGCAAGTCACTTTATCCTGTTTGCCTCACTTTCCTCATCTGTAAAATGAGCTGAAGAAGGAAACGGCAAACCACCCCAGTGTCTCTGCCAAGAAAACCCCAAATGGGGTCATGGAGAGTCAGACACGACTGAAATGACTCAGTCACCTCATCTATAAAATGGGGCAAATAATAAGCTTCTACCTCTCAAAGTTGTTGTGAGGATCACACAAGATTATTTTTTGTAAAGTGCTTTGTTTGCATACCTTAAAGCCCTACATCAATGCTATTAAAGGCCAGATACCTGGTAATGTTGCCTCTTTATCATCAGTGAATACACACTTCATGTGTGCAGACCTTTGAGTGTATCTCAATGTGGTTCAGGAAATGGCAGCTTGCCTTGGCTTTTCTCACTGGTCCTTGCAGAATATGGACTAAGAGGGCGGAAAATGGAAGCAGGTGAATACGGCGAGGAGAAGAGGGAGGATGGCCTGGTTATGTGGCAGCATTTTCTCTGGTTGGTCAAATGGAATGTAAGCTCCTTAAGGGAAAGGATGGATTTAATTTTGTATTGGTGCTCCCAATGCTTGCCTAATAAATTCTTGTTAATTGGTTGACAGGTTATCTTCTTTCAGCTCAGTGCTAATGGGAGCAAGAGTTGGGTGAGCATGTATTAAGCTCCTACTATGCAGCAGGCACTGTGCTTACCACAGAGTATAGAAAAAGGACCCAATGAGTTTCACTCTTTACCAAGGGCTCAGAAAGCACTCCTAACTCCTTCATAAATACATTTCCTTGGTCATAAAGCCCTTTGCTTGAAAACTATTAAGGGGGGAAGAAGCCACTGGTTTGCAAGACAGTCCATCTCACTTTGGGATAACTCTCATATATGCCCCTTTTTTGACTCTTACCCACCTGCCTCATCACCTCTTGCCTGGAACACTGCGAAAGCCTTCTAATTTTTCTTGCTAATTTAAGTGTCTCCACTTTCCAATCTATCCTCCATATTGCTTCCAGAGAGATTTCTTTTTTGAGGTAAATGGGGTTAAGTGACTTGCCCAGGGTCACACAGTCAGTAAGTATCTGGGCTGGATTTGAACTCAAGTCCTCAGGTCGTTCTGACTTCAGGGTTGATGCTCTATCCAATGTACCACAAAAGTGTGGATGTCTCATTGTCTTCCCTGAGTCTGTTAGGATGGGTAAGATAGTTCTTCATCAGCACTTTGGAATCATGCATGATCCTGGCATTGATCAGAGTTCTCAAGACATTCTGAGCAGCTTGTCTTTACATTGTAGGACACCCTTGTCCCAAAGCCCTTTGGTCTGGCACACCCTCCTTATTGGTGGAAATGAATGACTAGCCTTGCATGAGAGGGAGGGCTGAGTTAGTGAGAGATCTTTCCAACACATAGGCCCAACACGATATTCTCTTGCTCAGTAAACTCCAGTGACTTCCTACCTTTTGGATCAAATACAAACTCCAATGTCTTTTAAAGCCTGGCTCCAACTCACCTTTCCAACGTAAGCATACCTTATTCTCTTCTGTGCATTCTTTGGCCAGCGAAGAGCTAGGCACTTGGAATGTGATATCTCTGCTGGGCCAGGCTGGGCATGGCTCTCCTGCTTGGTCATACTCTATCACTGTCACCCGGCTCAGCTGCGATCCTTGGCTAAGATAACGCCAGGCTTTTTCAGAAAGAGCCAGAACTTTTCCCCTAAGACAACTGAGAAACTTTCCCAGTTCTGCTCTTTCATAGGTTTGGGTCTGGGGGCTACCATCTCCTGGGCAGCAGGACTCAAGCTCCCCTCTCCCCTACTCACTTGACAGAAAGTTGGGTTTTGGAAAGCCACGTCCTTGGGTTGTGTGTCCCCCGAGACAAGCAAATGTCTCCAATGGCCATGTGCTGCTAATGAGACAACATAGCTAATTGAGAAAGGTAAATTGTTCATTGGTTGACAGGTACATTGCACACTCTGCCTGACACACAAGAAAGTTCCCAAGAGTCAGGAACGTCTCCAAAAGCTTGGTTCTTCCTCCATGACTGGCTCTCTTCTCCTCTGCCTTTTTAGGATCTATCTCCTCACTTTTTTTTAAACCCAAACTCTCCCAGAAAATTGAATAGGGCAAGAAATGGCACCCTGGCCACCCAAGGAGCTGGTCCATTGTCTCCATCACTCCTCAGTTGAGTTATCCGACCCCTTCATATGTAAATGGAC